TGGGGCCTGCCTGCACGAAGTCCAGCCTGGGAGGCCAATTCAGGCCATCATCCGCTTCTTAGATTCCAAGGGAAGGGATCCCAACCTGGAGGAAGATGACTTGTTGGATGGCCAAGCAGTCTTGTGTGCAGCCACGCCCTGGACAGGTGATGAGCGGGCCCTAACAGTGTGGCTTCTCATTGCTGTGCCCGCTGCAGAAGCAGGGCTGCTGCCACAGGCCAGGACAGACATGCCAGCCTTGCTGGGAGAGGTGCCGGGCCCTCGGCTGGAAGCAGAGGGGCTCTGCCTGGGGGCGCCCCCGGGGGTGGGACTTAAGATGGGGGCAGCAGTGCCTCCAAACCCAGGCTGCTGCTTGGTGCTGGGTCCCGTGGCCAGCATGGGGGTGCTCTGGTGAACAGGGCCCCAGGTGTTCAGGCCCCTGCGTCCCCCATGGCAGCGTGTGGTGCTCGGGCTCCGCTTCGCCTCTCTTGTGATGCTAAGAGCTGCAAAGAGGCGGCACAGCTCAAAGTCACCCACTTGGCTCCTGCCGCCCTTACATGCAGCTGAGACCCCGAACCTGCAGGGGACTGGCCTCGAGCTGGCAGATCTCGGGCAGTGCCGCCAAGTGTTGGGCCCAGCCCTGGTCACAACGCTGGGCATGTAGGCGGCAGCTGCAGAACCACGGGGGAACACGGCTGAGGTGGCAGGAGAGATCGGCTGGGTGCTGGCATGAGTGCCCATGGTGGGATTTCTGGATGACAAACCGTCAGAAGACGCTTTTGGGGGGGCCCGGAAGGCTAGCGGACCTGGAGTGGAGAGTGGGTCCGAGGTTGGGGCTGGGACTGCCTGCTTTCCACACTGGGAAGAGCTGTCACAGGTAGTGGCTCCACACTGCTGCCCATGAGGGACCACAAAGACGGGCTGCGCAGAGGTCCCAGGGTTAGCAGGAAGTGTCACAGTCAGGCTGGGCCCACAGCCGCTCAGCACAGACAGGCTGGCGGTGAGGATGATGAAGGCCACGCCGTCATGGGGGGCCGTCTGCGGGGCCTGCAGCAGGGGCAGGATGCGCCCACTGGTGGTCTGGGGAGCCCCCGAGAGCAGAGGCTGAGAGGGTACAGTGCTATTCATGGGGGTGACCCCAGTCCCCTGAGCAGGGGTGACGAAGGCCACACCGTCATGGGGGGCCCATCTGCGGGGGCAGGATGCTTCCACTGGTGGTCTGGGGAGCCCCCGAGAGCAGAGGCTGAGAGGGTACAGTGCTATTCATGGGGGTGACCCCAGTCCCCTGAGCAGGGGTGACGAAGGCCACACCGTCATGGGGGGCCCTCTGCGGGCCCTGCAGAGGGGGCAGGATGCTTCCACTGGTGGTCTGGGGAGCCCCCGAGAGGAGAGGCTGAGAGGGTACAGTGCTATTCATGGGGGTGACCCCAGTCCCCTGAGCAGGGGTGACGAAGGCCAGGGCACCAAAGGGGGCCGTCTGCGGGGCCTGCAGCGGGGGCAGGATGCTCCCACTGGTGGTCTGGGGAGCCCCCGAGAGCAGAGGCTGAGAGGGTGGAGTCGTGTCCATAGGGGTGACCCCGGAGTCCGAAGCAGGGGTGAAGACGGCCAGGGCACCAAAGGGGGCCGTCTGCGGGGCCTGCAGCGGGGGCAGGATGCTCCCACTGGTGGTCTGGGGAGCCCCCGAGAGCAGAGGCTGAGAGGGTGGAGTCGTGTCCATGGGGGTGACCCCAGAGTCCGAAGCAGGGGTGAAGACGGCCAGGCCACCACAGTGGGCCATCTGCGGGGCCTTCAGAGGGGGCAAGATGCTCCCACTGGTGGTCTGGGGAGCCCCCGAGAGCAGAGGCTGAGAGGGTGGAGTCGTGTCCATGGGGGTGACCCCACGACGTCCGAAGCAGGGGTGAAGACAGCCAGGCCACCACTGTGGGCCATCTGCAGGGCCTTCAGAGGGGGCAAGATGCTCCCACTGGTGGTCTGGGGAGCCCCCGAGAGCAGAGGCTGAGAGGGTGGAGAGGTCTCCATGGGGGTGACCCCGGTCCCCTGAGTGGGGGTGACGAAGGCCAGGGCACCACTTGGAGCCGTCTGCGGGGCCTTCAGAGGGGGCAAGATGCTCCCACTGGTGGTCTGGGGAGCCCCCGAGAAGAGAGGCTGAGAGGGTGGAGTGGTCTCCACGGGGGTGACCGCAGCGTCCGGGGAGGGCGCGGGAGCCAAGCCCGCCTCGGCCTCACCCCGTAACATGCTATTGATTTGCCAGAATGCTGCTTTCTTCTCCATGTTGAGGTCTTCCGCCGTGACCTGGAAACCCAGTTCAGGGGGTGGGGGCAGCCTCAGGGGCTCCCCTCGCCTGCGTGGCAGCAGAGGAAACCTGCGTCTTCGGGGTTTCCTGGGACCATCGGATGTGTTCCCCTCGGTTCCCCTCGGCCCTCTGGCTGTGTCTGCATCCCTGTCGGGCCAGTTCGTCCACAGTGAGACCACCGGAGCTGCAGCGGGAGGCTGGGGGCTCTCCTTCCTCCCTTTCTTCAAGGATTTCAGGGGCAGCCCGCTGCGTGCGGGACCCCTCTTCCTCTGCACTGGCGGGGAACCCCGGGAGGAGCTGTACAAGCTGCTGATGTTATTTCTCTGGGGGCAGGAGCTCACGCAAGAGGTCTGGGGTTTCTCCAT